CCCCCCCCCCCAGCCCCGGATGGTCCTGGCCAGGGGGTCTTGGGCCTCGTGGGCAACCCCACCAGTTGCTGGCAGCTAGTTCTTACCCCCCGGGTGTATCACAGTCAGACGTGTGCAGGGTACATCCTCCTCCCGGGCACAGGGGCGAGCAACTCCCACCAGGCAGCACGGGGGCCTACTCTGCTCACCCCTCACCCGCTGGGTGGGCCTGGGCAGGGTCAAGCCCCCCACGCGGGCCCAGCTCTCTCAGCCAGGCCCCCTGTACTGCCGGTCACAGATGCAGCAGCTGGCCACGGGAGCTTAGCCAGCTTGGACACTGTCCCTGGGCGTGGGGACAGTGGCTTCTCCCCCACTCGGTCCGGCTTGGAGACTCCCGTCTCCCGGTCGTGTCCTGGGGGGCAGGGGGCGGCCCCGGCCCGGCAGAGAGAGGAGCCGGCCCCGCCACAAAGATGCCATAGCTGCGGCTGGTCCCAAGCAGAGGCCTTCGGTGCTGTCCTGGCCCTGACTGGAGAAGTACTTAAAAATGCTGAGGTGGGCGGCTGTGTAGGCCCGCCACAGGGAGAGGCGGGCATCTTGGGGCTTCTTCCTGGCAAAGCCACCTGGCTTGCGTGCCCCAGGTACCAGGGCCAGTTCACGCAGCCTGGCCACCCTCAGGCCTGGCTCCCTCAGCCTTCAGCCACTGCATCTTCTGCTGGTGCTGCTGGATGGCATCCTGGACCCGGGCATCCACCATGGCCTCAGTGAGGACTCCATCCTCAGAGGCATATGCCATGGCCTGGCAGGGAAAGAGAGTACCGATGTGGGGCACCCAGAGGGTCTGCCCGAGGGGAAAAGGGTCGCCCAGCCTCAGGCTTTCAGCGCCCACCAGTCCCCAGGAACGGCCCGCCCTGCAGGCCAGGGCCAGACCCAGGGATGAGGCAGCCAGGCTGGCCCCACCCTTGAGAACCTGACCGCCTCCTGTGGGGTGGGGGCCAAGTCCACTACCCTCAACCTTGGGCCTGTGCTCCGTCTCAAGAGGGGCCTGGCCTCACAACACACACACGTGCCCACGGCACACGCCTTGCTTCCCTGTGCGTGCAAGCGTGCCCCCCCCCCACCACGTGCGTGCTCACGAGGGAACCCACAGCCACGGCAGCTGCCGTCCCCACAATGCCTGCGGCCCTGCCCACATCCCCAGTTGGCACCAGTGCAACATTCCCACATCACTGAGTTTCTCAATGACTTCCTAAAAATAGAAGGTCTGAGGCCAGCTGTCAGGAAGCAGCTCAGCACCCCCATCACAGGCCTGGAGGGCCTCTACCTGAGACTGGAGCTGGCTTCAGGGCCAGGGCACACGCGCCACTGTGACTCTGGAGGGAGGGCAAGGCCCCTAGGCAGAGCGCTCCCCAGGAGCCCCCAGCGATCCCAACTTGGTCAGACAGTATCCCACCAGGCCCAACCACCCCCAAAGCACACTAGGTTCCGTCTCTCACGAGCCCCCGCTGCCCAGGGCTCCCCAGCCCGAAACCCGGCCATGCGCACGGGCGGAGGCACCGAAGCGTGCCGATCAGATCAGGCCCCAGGGTGGTCCACGTGCCTCGGCTACTAGCCAGGTCACCTACGGCCAGGCTGCCACCCCTCCCAGGTGACTCACTGTCTCACCTGCTTCCTGTCACCCAGCCTGTCACTCTGACCGAGGTGGCTGTGCGGACGGCCTCAGTGTTCGCCAGGCAGGGGGCCAGAGCCAGTTCACCTGTCTCTCTCCAGCTACCTGAGTGGCCTCAGCCCATGTTGGGCACTGTGAGAAAGTCCCTGCCATCTGAGATGGCCGGTCACTTTGTTCACACAGGCCGGCCCTACCCTTAGGACACGGCCACCCTCAGTACCCCGTGGCCAACCATGGAGCCAGGGGGCTGCAGGGGGAGCACACAGGCTCAGAAGAGCAGTGAAGGAGAGGCAAGAGGGGACCGCCAGGGGAGCACACCGGCCTAGGGGCCCACGTGGGTCAGGGCCTGGAAGTGGCTGGAAGCTTCCCTGGTAGGAAGGCAGAGGGAGAGGAGCAGCCCCTCTCAGAATCCCACAGCGCCCAAGGGGGGCTGGGCCCCTGCTGAGGGATGGCTACACTTGGCGATGGGCTTCCAAATAAAGGAGGAAAGGGGGAAGCCAGTAACTCTGCATGGAGAACCCTGGCGGGCACCACTCTGACCAGGTCAACATCCCTGTGATGTTGTACGGCACTAGGTGCCCCCAAACCAGGGGCCATGACCAGGAGGACACCTCATCGCTGGGGTCTTCTCCCCAAACCCACAATCTTGGTCTAATTGTGAGAAAAACATCCGAAGGAGAATCTATGTAACGCCTGACCAGCACTCCTCAAAACTGTCAGGACCATCAGTAACCAGAAACATCTATCTGTGAGCTGTCACGGCCTGGAGGAGCCTGAGGACACAGGGCAACCGAATGAGACGGGGACTGTGGATGGGGTCCTGGAAAAGACCAAGTCCAAGTGGAGTCAACACTGACATGGCAAACGTGCCTCGGGAGAGGGGTCAAGAGGGGTCACTCGTACACGGTGGGGGAGGCTCCGCGTTACCCTTGCAACTTTCCTGTGAGCTGGAAATTACTGAAACAGGAACCTTCATGAAAGAAAGGAAGGGAGGGAGGGAGGGAGGAAAGAAGGAAGAGAGAGAGAGAAAGAAGGAAAGAAAAAGAGAGAAAGAGAGAGAGAGAAAGAAAGAAAAAGAAAGAAAAATGAAAGAAAGAAAGGAAAGAAAGGAAGAAAGGAAAGAAAGAAAGAAAGAAAGAGAAAGAAAGAAAGAAAGGAAGGAAAGAAAGAAAAAGGAAAGTCCTGGACTCAACGGCTTCACCAGTGAATTCTGCCCAACGCTTATGAAACGGATCCTTCTCACACTCTGCCAAAAAACCGAAGAGGAAGGAACACTTCCTAATTCATTCTGAGGCCAGCATAACCCGGACAGTAGAAGCAGATAAAAATACCACAATAAAACTACAGACCAATACCCTCTATGAATATTGATACAAAATTCTTCAATAAAATACCTGCAAACCAGATTCAGTAGCAGGTTGAGGGCATTTACTTCTGGAATGCACGGATGACCCAAAAGAGGAAAATCAATCAACGTGTTACACCACACAAACAGAATAAAGGACAAAACCCACACGATCATCTCAAATTGATGCAGAAGACGCATCTGACGAAACTCAACACCCCTCCTTGGTGAAAGCACTCAACCAACCAGGAACAGAGAAAATTTTCCCTAACGCTCTAAAGGTCATATGTGAAAACCCCACAGCAAATATATTATCAATGGTGAAAGGCTGAGAGCTTTTCCTCTGAGGTCAGGAACAAGACCAGGGCACCCGCTCCCACCACTTCTATTCAGCACAGTACTGGGAGTCCCTGCCAGAGGAATCAGGCAAGAAAAAGAAATGAAAGGGATCCAGTTTGGCACGGAAAAAGTAAAATTATCTGTTTGCAGACAATATAATCTCGTATGTAGTAAATCTGAAAGATCTCCTCCCGGAAGTTGTTAAGAATAATGCATTCATGGGGCGCCTGGGTGGCGCAGTCGGTTAAGCGTCCGACTTCAGCCAGGTCACGATCTCGCGGTCCGTGAGTTCAAGCCCCGCGTCGGGCTCTGGGCTGATGGCTCAGAGCCTGGAGCCTGTTTCCGATTCTGTGTCTCCCTCTCTCTCTCTGCCCCTCCCCCGTTCATGCTCTGTCTCTCTCTGTCCCAAAAATAAATAAACGTTGAAAAAAAAATTAAAAAAAAAAAGAATAACGCATTCAGGAAGTTTGCAGGAAACAAAATTAACACACAAAAACCATTTGTCTTTCTACGTCTTTCTATATCATAATAAACAATCTGGAAAGGAAATTAGAAAGTTCCATTTACAACAGCATCAGAAAGAATCAAATACGCAGGAAAGTAACTTAACCAAGAAGGCCAAAGAGTGGTATCTTCAGAACTACAAGACACTGCCGAAAGGAAAGAAATTAAAGACACCAAAGTCAAGAAGACATGTGCGTCATGCGTCATGACACTTGAGTATGTCGGTCCTACCTACCCAAAGTGGATCCACAGAATCGCTGCAATCCCCATCAGAAATCCCATGGTGTTTTTGGCAGAAATCAAAATCCATCCTAAAATTCATACAGAATCTCAAGGGAGGCTGAACAGCCAAAACAGTCTTGAATAAGAACAGATTTTCAAGTCTCAAATTTCCTGATTTTTAAACCCACTACGGGGGCACCTAGGTGGCTCAGCTGGTTGAACATCTGACTCTTGACTTCAGCTCAGGTCATGATCTCACGGGTTCATGGGTTTGAGCCCCGTGTTGGGCTATGTGCTCACAGCCCAGAGTCTGCTTGGGATCCTCTCCCCACCCCCCCTCCCCTCTCTGCCCTTCCCCTGCTTGCGTGCACTCTCTCTCAAAATAAATAAATACACTTAAAAAAAAAAATCTAGGGGCGCCTGGGTGGCGCAGTCGGTTAAGCGTCCGACTTCAGCCAGGTCACGATCTCGCGGTCCGGGAGTTCGAGCCCCGCGTCAGGCTCTGGGCTGATGGCTCAGAGCCTGGAGCCTGTTTCCGATTCTGTGTCTCCCTCTCTCTCTGCCCCTCCCCCGTTCATGCTCTGTCTCTCTCTATCCCAAAAATAAATAAACGTTGAAAAAAAAAATTAAAAAAAAAAAAAATCTACTACAAAACCACGGTAACACAATCAGAGTAGTGCTGAGGACGGTCATCTAGACAGATGAAGTAGGACTGAGAGCCCAGAAAGAAACCTTCACATGTGGGGTGAGATGGTTTTTCAACAAGGGTGCCACGCACATTCTAATGGGGAGAGGACAGCCCTCAACAAATGATGCCGGGACACAGGACGTCCACATGCAAATGAAGTTGGACCCCTAAATAACAGCACGCACAAAACTTAACTCCAAATGAATCAAATACCTAAATGTAAGATCTCGAAGTACAAAACTACTAGACGAAAGCATGGGGGAAGCTTGCAGACACTGGATTTACTGAGGATTTCTCGGCTATGACACGGCCAGCATAGGTAACAAACACAAACCGGACTTCATCAAAACTAAAGCCTTGTGTGCATCAAAGGACACTATCAACGGAGTGAAGAAGGCAGCCCACTGAAGGTCAGGAAATCTTTGTAAATCACACCGCTGATAAAAGGTTAGTATCCGGAATATGAAAACTGCTAAAACTCAACAAAAAACAACCCGATTCGAAACTGCGCAAGGACTATCCATATAGACACTTTTCCAAGAAGACACATGCCTGGCCAGAAAGCACAGAAGATGCTGTCACTAACCAGCAGGGAAATGCCATCCACGTTACAAGGAGACACTTCGCATCCCCCAAGATGGCTGCTATCCAGACTCGGGAAAACAAGTGCTGGTGAGCGGGGCGACGGACCGGAGCCCATTGCACAGCTGGTGGCAAAGGGAAACAGTGCGGCCGCTGTGGAAGTGGCCTGTCAGCTCGCCCGAAACTAAAAACGGTATTATCATGTGATCCGAGAGTTCCACTTCGGGGTGCACGCTCAAAGGAGTGAAGAGTGGGGCTCCACGGAGACCCCCGCACACCCATGTTCACAGCAGTTATTATTCACAACAGACAAGAGGTGGAAGTCACCCAGCGTCCGTCTCAGTGGACGAACGGACGAACAGAATGAGACCGACCGGCCCACTGGGCAGATCACCACTCCGCCCCGAAAAGGAAATGCTGGCACCTGGTCCAGCACGGACGGACCTCGAGGACATCACACCGAGGGCAGTCCGTCACAAAACGACAAATCGTGCGTGACTCCCCTCACGGGTGGGATCTAGAGCGGTCACATTCGGAGAGAGCGGGTGCCACGGCCTGGGGAAAGGGGTGGGGTTGGTGTTTAATGGGATGGCATTTCGGCTTGGGAAGGTGAAAATGTTCTGGATGCGGACAGTGGGGACGACTGCACAGCAATGTGAATGTGCTTAATATCACTGAGTCGTGCACCTAAAAATGGTTAAAGTGGCAAATTTTGGTTAAAAAAAAAAGAAAAGGCAGCGAATTCGCACGCCAGAGGACTCCAGTGTGCTAAGAGGCAGCACGGACCCCACCGACAACATCATCATACTAACAACGTGGGCGGGGGTGCCAGGAGGGGGGCGGGAGGGAGGCTCAGTCAGTTGAGGATCCGACTGCAGATTTCGGCTCAGGTCATGATCTCAGGGTCATGGGATTGAGCCCTGGGCCAGGCTCTGCGCTGAGCGTGGACCCTGCCGAAGATTCTCTCTCTGCCCCTCTCCCCTGCTCTCTCTCCCACAAAACAAACAAACAGAAGCAACGTGGGCTTCAGGGAACAAGTCCAGCCTGGAAGGAGGGGGAGGTGTGCAGGACAAGCCCCACGAGCACCCTGAGCCAGAGGGCACACCAGCAAGGCCACCACACCCCTCCCAGATGCCGAGGCCCGAAGCACCCTGGTTCACTCTCCTCTCCCATGAGCACGACAGGACTCCCGGACACATGCTGGGCTGGGCTGGGCTGACCAGTCAATGACCGGACGCGCTCTGGTGAAGTACCAGATCCCCCGGGGAGGGCATCCTGTGGGCTTCAGCACCTACTCACTGCCTCCTGCAGCGGTCAGGGGTCAGACCGGAGGTCTCCCCGGTTCTCCATCCACCAGGCTCGCAGACCTGTCACCTCACGTGGGCAGGTGACACGTGACGTAAAGAGAAGGGAGGTGTGCGGGTTCTTGGTGGAAACACCGGGCATGGACTGCAGGGCACGGTTTGCAGTCAGGGACAGACGCGTCCCACGTTCATACGGTGAAACCCTGACCCCCAGAGCAGCTGTAGTTAGAGGTGGGCCCTCTAAGGAAGCAGGCAACGTCAGAGGAGGCCGTAGGGGCGGGGCCCTGATTCTACAGGACCAGCAGCCTCATGCGACAGATCTCTGTTTCTGCCACAGGAGGAGGAAACCGCGAGAAAACAAGCGTCTGAAAGGCAGAAAGGGGGCTGCCATCAGAACTCCACCATACTGGCACCCTCGTCCAGGCCTTCCTGCCTTCCGGACCTTGAGAAATACACGTCTGTGTTTAAGCCCTCTGGGCTGTGGCACCGTCACAGCAGCCGAAGCTGACAGACATCCTATCCTCCACTCTGTCGGTTGTGGAAACAGAGCCACCCTCGTCGGGCCTGGGTCCTGAGTGAGGACGGCTGGAGCAGAACACCTGGCTGCCCGATCACACGTAGGAGCAGAGTCTACAGTCTGGAGCTGGGCATAACCCGGCTCATCCTCATACAGGCTCCTGTGTATCCAAGCTGCTAGGTTCAAGTCACAGTAGATGTCTATTTAATTAACATAATACACATCCATTTAAAAGCACTGTCACGTTTCTAGCGATCGGACTGTCACGCAGCCTCAGTCAGATTTGACTGGGGGCCCCATGGAGGCAGTGATGGCGGCACAAAGCCAAGGGCGGCTGCAGACAGGAGCCACTGAGCACCCTGCACCCGATAAAGCTTTTCTCCTCAGCAATCACCAAGCTGCAAATACTTTCTAGACGGCTGCACCCAGGACCCCTGGGGGTCAAATGGCTTCCCTGTCCTGGGCGGGGGGGGGGGG